TGTCACCCTTGACTATGGTTTTCCCCCACCCACTCTGTGTGTATCATAGTTCATATTCTCCAACAAGACACTTCCATAGCCAAGAGTCCTCAATCACCTTCTCCAATTAGAGATTTGCACGGCAGAAATTCCAGTAGCTTAGTAATAATCTTTGCAAGATAAGAATGGAATGCACTTTCAGTTCCAAACTGCTGCACTGCTCTTTCATGGCATAGAAATATTTTACAAGTAGACACTATTCATTCTAGAAATAACATGCAGGCTTTCTTTGATATGCTTATGCTTGATTAGAAAGGGCCAGTTACTTGAGTCATCTAGAACTATGAATCAAATCAGGAATTCAAACCCACGGGTGAATTCCTGTCACAAACTGTAGCTCCTTTCTACTTGGGCAGGTCTACTATCGGGGAGTCGAGGCTTGGCAGTGTGACCTGGTGCTTCTAGGCATGATTCAAGTTGACCTCACTTGCTTGGACTTTTAGCTTTTACCCCCTTGTGCTTCAGAGAAAGTTAGATGTGCTCATGAAACAGATGCAGGAGGGAGAAACCTCAGAGGTGAAATTCAGCAAGTTCTGACCAGTTCTGGAGAACCTGTAGCAGAAATTTTGAGTAGTTCAGAGAACTGATAGAGGATGAATTATAGGCCCGCTTTGTCACTTCCGGTAATGCCGGAAGTGATGAAACAGGCCTATAATTCAGCCTGAAAAGCCTTATAGAGGCTTTTTCCAAGTCTCTGGGCAGGCCGAAAAAAGCCGCAAACCAGCCAAAAAAATCAACTGTGAGGTGCAGTGCAGGTAAGGGGGTGGGGTGTGGATTGCGCACGCATGCGCAGGGAACGTGGGGAGGGGCGCACGCATTGCATTCTGGGTACTGGCATGTGAGTATATACGCGCTGGCACGCATGCAGTTTTTGGCACGGAAGCCCAAAAAGGTTAGCCACCGCTAGTCTCCTGCTTGAAAAGTGGGTTGGACTAGAAGACCTCCAAGGTTCCTTCCAGCTGATTCCTTATCTGCTTTTGTAGGGGGCCAGGGGAGGAATTTTGTTTCAGTGGGTCTTTTTCAGAAGGTGGTTGCTGCAGATGCATTAGCGCGTTCTATTTTAAGATTCTGTGCAGTTTATTTATTTATTTTTCCATGCGGTGATTTTCTATTCGACCGTAAGCCGACTTCTGTTAGCTAACATCTGCATAGCAGCTTCAGACAGATTTAGACAGGTTCCTGAACGTTTTCAAGAAATGGATTGTATTCAGAGGTACATGCAGGTAACCCACTCATTTAGCAACTGTTCAAAATTACAGCAGCACTTAAGAAGCGACTTACAACCAGTTCTTGCACTTACAACCATTGCCATGTCCCATGATCACGTGATCAAACTTTAGGGGATTGACAACTGTATACGGTAAGTATTTATGATGGTTGCTTTGTCCAGGAGTTATGTGATCACCCTTTGTGACCTTCCCAGCCTGTTTCTGACAAACAAAGTCGATTGGGGAAGCTGGATTTGCTTAACGATCGTATGATTCTCTTAACAACGGAAGTAATTCGCTTTAACAACCAATGGCAAAAAAGGTCATACAATTTCACAGGACTTAAGAACTGCCTGGCCTCATCATCATTTCTCCACCTTGCAGGGTGGAGTTTGGGCAACTGAATGGTGCCCAGCAGAGTGTTTTAATGGCCGGATGCCTTTCCTATTGCCAATGCGGAGTTTTGTTTTCAGCAGATATATTCTCTGTGTGCCCAGAGAGAGAAATATCTATCTCTATCTAGGATCGAACTCACAGCCTCCTGATTGTGAGGCAAGAACTCCACCTCAAGGCCACCGCACCACTCCAGAACTGCCTTGCTTAGCAATGGCAATTCTGGTGGTCGTAAGTCGAGGACTACCTGTATGTTGGTTCCATGAAAATATTTAACAGAACACATACAGAATCTTGTTCCACATATGCTTATGGACTTTGGCACATATCTGTATAAACCTATGTACTACGGTGCATCTACTGCTATTCCCGACATGGCTCAATTTTACTGCATAAAAACTACAAAAATATATATATATATACTTTTTATTTTTATTGTTCTCCTATTGAGCATTTTTCTTCTGAAAGCGGACAAATATTCTGTCCATGCCATACAAAGGAAGTCACATTTCTGCAGAGTTTTCCAAAGTTTCAACTAGTTCATAGACATTCAAATTGGAAATTTCTGTCTATTTTGACTTTTGAGAATTGCAGAGGAATGTGGTTCCTTCGTCTGAGATGGGACAGAAATATGGTCCAACGACTGAACGACACATTTAATTAGGCGAAATGGTTTTTTCACAATAATGAAATAAGCACTTTCTTTTTCATATAAATGGCTATTCCCGCTTGAAGCAAAGGTGAGTGGTGAACCTTCAGGTCCCTGAGATGTACATTGCTAAAGTCCAATTGCAACTCATGGAAAATTCAGCATGTAATTCCCATCCATTTTCAAAAAGAAATTAAAGATGCCATAGGCCAGATCAGCCACCTTCTCTTCCTAACATCTGCCTCTCCAACCGTCCATTACATTATAATCCTGTTGTATGATCCCATCACTGCAGATTTTGTGCATGGTGTGTCTAAAAAAATACACCTGCACCAAAAAAAAATTGTCATCTTCTGCCTTAGAAGATGGGCCATGCCCTGTGCACTGATTAAAAGTAAGTATTTCCCTGTCCAGTCGTATCCAACTGTAGAGGAGTGGTGCTTATCTCCGTTTCTTGGTCAAGGGAGCCAGTGTTGTCCAAAGACACATCCGTGGTCATGTGGCCAACATGACTATACTCCAAAGGCACAGAGAATGCTGGTACCTTCCCACCGAAGTGGAACCTATTAATCTACTCGCATTTGCATGCTTGTGCTCTGATTAAACTGGGCTAAATCATAACACGTGCTGTGCTTTGTTTTTTGACCTCCTACTGTCCTCTGGAAGGTCAAAATGGATGAAGGGAAGGACAACTATCCTGCTGAATGAGAGCTAAAGTTTACGTAGTCCATAGTTTTGATTCCTGAAGGACTTTTGCACGATGTTCAGAGACGACGTAAGGAAGCTGGGGGAACTATCATTCTGACTGTTTTATGCAAGAGGGAAAGAGTGGTAGGAGAAGGCCAGACAGAGCCTGAAGGCGGAGTCAAGAGAGGAACCAGCCTGGAATCCTTCTGTTTCCACAAGCGGTCCAAATCCAATCTCTCTTGAATTCCATTAACTCCTGCCTAGCACAATTTAGTGCTGATTGTTAATTGGACAGGTGGGATTTTCCAGACTTATGACCTGTTCCAGGTCTATCTCTCTCTCAACCCCAAACCCAAGTGAGTTCAAATCTCCTGCCTGCCCCTCACATGCCCCTGTTGGAGTCTGAATCTGAGGAGGAAGACAAACAGCTGACGGGGAGTGTGGCTCTATGGGCTGTGGAGGAAACTGGGGGAGGGCAAAATCAGGCTGGGCAGAGCAGGGGAGAGGTAGAACAAGGGAGAGGGAGTTCAGAGGAAGACCCAGGCCCACTCCCTCTTCATCCTAGGGCATGCAGGGAAGAATGGAGAAGAGAGCAACATGGGTTGCCTGGCTTATGGGAGAGGAAGGGGCCCTGATTCCCTTCATTAGCCACACCTGGGAAGAAAGTTTAAAAGAAATGCATGCTGAGTGTGGCATCTGCTAGGAACATATGTGAGTTTATCTTGTGTTGACTTTGGTTATCTGTGTTCCTAGCATTTTCCCAACCTTGTTGAATTCCTTCACGTCTGGAATTCCTTCTCCTGCCCTGCCAGACTAATTACCTCCTCTTGCCTTGATTGGACTGATAGTTACAGTTTTTGTTGACCACGTTTTGGACTTGATTGAGTGAGCTCCCGTTCCTTGTCCCAGCTTCTGCCAACCTAGCAGTTTGAAACCATGTAAAAATGCAAGTAGAAAAATAGGGACCCCTTTGGTGGGAAGGGAACAGCGTTCTATGCGCCTTCGGGGTTTAGTCATGCCGGCCACATGACCACGGAGACGTTTTCAGTCAGCACTGGCTCTTCAGCTTTGTAACGGAGATGAGCACCACCCCCTAGAGCCAGAAACAATTAGCATATATATGCAAGGGGAATCTTTACCTTTAAGCTGAACATGGCTAAGAGAAATGTGGCAGTTTGAGAAGGTAGTCAGTGGGAGGAAGGAGAACAGATGTGTATCCTTTCAAACACCGTTGGCCATCTTCTTCACAACAGTGTTATCTGTGGGGACACTAGAATGGAAGAAAGAAAGGAAGGAACGAAGGAAGAAATGAAGGAAGGAAGGAGGGAAGGAAGGAAGGAAGAAAGGTAGGAAGGAGGGAAGGAAGGAAGGAAGGAAGAAAGGTAGGAAGGAAGGAAAGAAGGAAGGAAGGAAGGAAGGAAGGAAGGAAGGAAGGA